GTGGTTCTCTCCCTCCTCTGTCCCAATCCTTCCCTTCCTCCACCCTCTGCATGCATGCCCCTCCCCAAGTCCACAGATAGGGGAGGACTTCTTTTCCTTCCTTCTGATCCTAGTCAATTAAGTCTCATCAGGAGTGGCTGCCTTGTCTTCTTCTGTGGCCTGGTAATGCTGCTTCCCCCTCACGGGGAGGTAATTAAAGAGCAGGCCAATCAGTTCATGTCAGAGACAGTCCCTGTTCCTATTACAATGGAACCCACTTAGATAATGAACTGCCATGGGCTACATCTGTGCAGGGGTCTTAGGTTATCTCCATGCATAGTCCTTGGTTGGAATAGCAGTCTCAGGAAAGACCCCTATGCTCAGATTTTTTGGTTCTGTTGCTCTCCTTATGGAGTTCCTGTCCTCTCCAGATCTTACTGTTTCCCACTTCTTTCCTAAGATTCCCTGAACTCTGCCCAAAGGTTGCCCATAAGTCTCAGCATCTACATTGATAATCTGCAGGGCAGAGCCTTTCAGAGGTCCTCTGTGTCAGGCTCCTGACTTGTTCCCTCTTTTTTTCTTTTTCTGATATCCAGCCTCTTTGCCCTTCTGGATAGGAATTGAGCATTTTAGCAAGAGTCTTCTTTTTTTATGTCTCTGTCCCGACATAGTTTCCAGTCACTGTGAGGGGTTGAACCAAAGCGAGCCTGGAGTTAGGCTGGTATTGCACAGTGTTCATAGATGGTAACTCAAGGTTTCGGTAGCATGAAGAAGAAATAGCTATTACTATGATGATTTTACATGACCGAAGCCTTAAAGTCCACAAAGTGTGAAGGCTGTGTTCACCGCCAGGAACTAAGGAAGATAAAGCCGTTTGTGTAATTCAAGTTACCTACAGGTCAAGTGGGGGAGGGGGCGGCTCTATCCATCCTTTTCCTTGAGTTACACTTTTTCACCTGCTGTTGTCACAGTCAGACTTCACCAGTGACAAAACTGTTAAAGTTGTAACAACAGGGCTGCTTTCAACCTATAAGGACAAGTTATCCAATGGAAAAACTAAAAATTCTTTCACAGTTATTATACAAAAGCTGGTGAGCTTCATTGTAAGTTTAAATTTCTTATAGAAATGATTCTTCACAATAATGAGCAAATTCTTCAGATAGTTTCTCAAATGTTTCTACCTCTGTGGGGCTTGCTCTATAGTTATTTTGTGCAGAAATTGCTTGATAACAACCACCAAAATATTCCTCACAATGTGATAGATAGCCACAATCCATGCAAAGGCTACTTCCGGAGATCCAGAACTGTAGCCTCAGAACTT